GAATTATTTTTTCTTCTAAACTTCTATTTTTAGGGAGATATTTTCTAAAATAAGAACAAAGGGAAATATTGTCCCTCATAGGTCTCCTGTTTCCACAAAGATTTGTTAGTTTATTGTGTCTATAAAAAGCAAGAAAAAAGTGGTTGCAGTATTCCAGGATGACTTCCTATATGCATATGGCCTCTTATAATGTGATTTCAGAGTAATTTTATCTATTATTCTATCTATTGACAATTCACAATCATCTGGGTTTTTTTCATTAGCTATCAGTAACTTTCTCCACTTAGAGGTCCCATCTCCAATAACCTCACTATCTAAATAAAGGCAGAATTCAGTCCTGCAAACACACATCCATTAGCAAACAGACGAAAACAACACCTGCTCATGGAAGTGCCAACTCTCTATCCTTTAGGCATTCTAAGAAGTAGAATGAATTAAAGTTTTTATCAAAGCCAAAATATAGCAAAATTCTCCCGAGTAGAAAAACTAACTTCTTAGTGAGATTGGGTGCAGAGTCTCCCGTGAAGGAAGGAACACAAGAATGAGTGGGTCAAGTGCCCATCACCCTTTTCTAAGATCTGTAGGTCATTCACCTCATCATATCCTTATAGTCCTTCAACCAAAGGGTTGGGCTAATTTCCAGTCAATCTGTGCATCTTATTCATTTGGCTTTTCATCCAAAAATTTCTGTGTGCTAATGGTTTTTGATTGGCTTGATTTTTTGCCCACTCCTCCCCTGCATTTCTAAATGGAGGCAGAGGCTGTTGCTACTGACACCTAGTGAGTAGAGATGGTTGTTGGGTGGGGAGGTGCTAAACATGCTGTAATGTGGGAACAGCCTCCCTCCTCCCCCAGCGAAGACTTATCTGGTCCATAAGGTCATAGTGCTAAAGTGGAGAAAACCTGCTTTGTGCTGAACTCTATTGTGTAGATACAGATAAGAATATTTGAAGCACTCATAAAACTTGTCTCTGAAGTAAACTCTTGATAAAGTCTTACAAATATTACCAAGCTACTCCTAGAATGCGATTTCTAGATTACTGTACTTCACAATTAACTAGCTCTGTTTAGAGTAGAGATCAACTCGCACACACGGTTACATCACGTGGATGTAGGCCAGTGTTTTTCAACTTTTATTTTTTATCTCCTGGCACACTTGAAACTATAGTTAAACATCTGTGGCACACTTAAATTATGCTGATTAAAAAAAAGAGTTATATTAAAAGAATATACTTAGTGTGCTTTGAGCTTTCTTTGAAAATTATGTAATTAATGGTCTTAAAAAAATTTCACAGCATGCCTAAGATCTTCTCATGACACACCAGTGTTCCGTGGCACATCGGCTGAAAATCACTGGTCTAGACTGTTGTGTTTTAAAGTAAACTATACATGTATTCGCCATAATATTTGATTTTCCCCTCTTTTTTCAAATGTTAATAATGAGACAGACTAAGGGAAGCCAGTCCCTACACTTTAGTTTTTAAGCTGCCTGCTTTAAAATGGTCTTTTATCAATGGAAGGGATCATTTTGTCACAATGCATTCTGTGTCTCCAATATTTTATTCCCCCCAAATTAAAAATGTCTACTTAGATTTAAAAAAATTTACTACTACGATAAAAATTCAACTTAATATTGTTTCCCTTTTTTTACATTTAAAATATTTTCCCTAGACTACATGACGAAAAAGAGGTTTAAACAGTGTGAAACTGTCATTCAGGAGAGTTTTCACCAAATTTATATGTCTAAAGAGAAAAACTCTTTGTTTATCTAACAAAATAGTTGACATAAGATATTGTAATTATTAAAAAGCACTTGAAAATTTGACAGGCTTACACGGCATATTTTATTTAACCAACTTAATTTCAGAGCTATTCAGCTGCTTGAAAAGGAAGCTTTTATTAGTTCTTTGAATGTACTTATCAGTTTGACTTTTTTGTTTTATCAGCCAACAAGTAAAACCCCTGAAAACATGGAGCTAAAGAATCAGACGATGGTGACAGAGTTTTATTTCTCTGATTTTCCTCAGTTTGAGAATGGCAGCCTCTTATTCTTCATTCCTTTACTCTTTATTTATGTGTTCATTGTTGTTGGGAATTTCATGATCTTCTTTGCCGTCCAGATGGACACCCGTCTCCACAAGCCCATGTACAATTTCATCAGCATCTTCTCCTTCCTGGAGATCTGGTACACCACAGCCACTATCCCCAAGATGCTCTCCAACCTGATCAGTGAACAGAAGAACATTTCTTTCATTGGTTGCCTCCTGCAGATGTATTTTTTCCACTCTCTCGGGGTCACAGAAGGCCTCGTCCTCACAGTGATGGCCATTGATCGGTATGTTGCCATCTGCAAGCCCCTCCGCTACTCCATCATTATGACACCTCGGCGGTGCCTGCAGCTCTCCACCGGCTCCTGCATCTGTGGCTTCCTTATGTTGCTCCCAGAGACCATGTGGGTTTCTTCTCTTCCCTTCTGTGGCCCCAACCAGATCCATCAGCTCTTCTGTGACTTTGAACCAGTGCTGCGTTTGGCTTGTACAGACACCTCCATGATGCTAGTGGAAGACGTGATCCACGCCATTTCCATCCTGACCTCTGTCTCTGTCATAGCCCTTTCCTATTTAAGAATCATCATGGTGATCCTGAGGATCCCCTCCCGTGAGAGCCGTCAGAAGGCCTTCTCCACGTGTGCGGCCCACATTACAATTTTCTTGCTGTTTTTTGGTAGTGTGATGCTCATGTACCTACGCTTCTCTGTCCCATTCCCCCCACAGCTGGACAGGGCCATTGCACTGATGTTTGCTGTCCTTGCCCCACTTTTCAACCCAATAGTCTACAGTCTGAGAAACAAAGACATGAAAGATGCCATCAAGAAAATCCTCTGTTCTCAAAAAACGTTCAATATCTCTGGGGGCTAATCAAGTTCACAAACACCTGTCCAAAGAAATCTCATCACCTCTATAAATCTAAAGTGCTCACAAATCAGGGGCTAAAATTATCATGCACATTTTGTCTTCATGTTGCTGATTTGGTGTTCTTTCCAATTTTCTAATGTAAGAACTACTGTATGACCTGATAGAGGATGTCTGTTGTGGATTTATCTACCTTGCTGTCATTCAAAGATTATAACAGAATATCTCCTTCACCTTGTAACTACAAGTAACGTGTCATCATCTTCTTTGAATCAATAGAGAATATTGGCCTGAACAATAATCATATTTATTACACATTTAGATGTTTCCCTTGTGTACACTTTCATTCTATATTCACAATACCCTTTGTCACTTGTTAATTTTTTCACTTTAACAAGATTAGCAGAAAGCATATCAGTGAGGTGATTTTGGCATGGGAAAGAAGCCTGCCTCCCTGACATCTAGTTGAGAGACCTTTGACCTCTCCACAGGTGTCTTCTGATACCTTACAATGAGTACACAGCACACCCAGTCACTGAGTCTGTGATGTTGATGTAATGCTTTCAATTATTGACTTTTCTTAGTCTCACATTGTTTTGAAAATTTCCAAGAAAACACTCCTGGGTGCTTAAAGATAAAATAGATATATATTTATATCTATTAAGCTTGGGAGCAAAAAATGTAAATACCCAAATTATATTGATACAACAATATCCCGCTATATCTTGGTATTTTATTAAATTAGTATCATTACTATTAAATGTATTCTGTGTTAGGTTTTATATCTCAAGATCTTTGTTCTTTTTTCTTCCCCTTTGGAATGTTCCTCTCTTCCTTCTTCTCTGCTTTGGAACTCACATTCACCAGTAAAAATTCACACACATTTTATCATCTGCGATTAAATGATCCTGCCTTCTGACCAAGAGCTATAATAGCAGTTTTAGAGGCTGAGTGAATTGACCCAGAAAAAGAGTTTTGCTCAGCATCTGTGGAGAGAAAAGCAAGAACAAAGGCAGCTATCAGTTGGACCATGAAGACCAGCAGGTGAACAACTGGTGTGGGGAAGAGAGAGGGGTCAGAGACAAGTACTGAGTGAACAAAAAAGCCTCAGTCAGCTGTGGTAAGGCAGGTAGGCAGGTCCTCAGGGAGACCTGGGAATGCTGAAGTGGAAGGAAGACCTTACTCCCAACTCCAGGTACACTGCACGTCCAGTCTGCTCCCCTGCCTTGGGATCCAGGCTCACCCTTTGTTCCCTTTCCCTCCTGTATCACTAAATACACTCCCACCTTATTGTGAGCTATTTAATACTCATGAATGTGACAAACATTTTTGCATAAATAGAATTGTATTTATTTTATAATACTTAAATTTATTTAAGGTAAGCATTCAGGAACTTGGATCATTTTTAATCTTTGAATTCCTGCTTAAAAAAAAACCTTAGTGGGAGGCCAAGGTGGGTGAATTGCTTGAGATCATGAGCTCATGAGTGGCAGACCATCTTGGGCTAGAGCAAGACTCCATCTCTAAAACTAGCGAGGCATTTTGGTGGGCACCTGTAGTCCCAGCTACTGGGGAGGCTGAGGCAAGAGGATCACTTGAGCCCAGGAGTTTGAGGTTGCTATGAGCTATAATGCCACGACACTCTACTCAGGGCAACAGAGTAAGACTCTGTCTCAAAAAAACAAATGAAGAAACAAACAAAAAAACCAGCAACAAAACAAAACAAAAAAGTTCCCTTAGTATTCTATTTATAATCCTAATAGATTTTATCATTCATTTTCAAATATGTTTGACAAATATTTGTTCTGGTTCATAAGCTTGGCTAATAAATTCTTTTAAACTACATTTAAATATGATACACATAATTGAGTACCTCAATTTTTAACTTAATACAAAGCCTACTCAGATTTTTTTTAGACTTTATAATTTAAAATGAAAATTATAAATATGGCTAATCCCAAATATTTTTATAGGTCCATTATTGTGATTGATGAGATAAAATTTCATCTTAAATAAGCAACCTTAATATCTGGATTAAATGTATGAATTTTATTGACTATACACTTTAACTCCAAAAAGTTGATTAACAGAAAATGTCTAAGTTAATCACTGAATTATAAATTTGAAATTAGAATTACAAAGTCTATCTGCTATTCTAATGAGTTAAATTACCTTAAATTATACAAATGCAAAAATACTAAATATATATAGAGTTTCTTATGCAAAATAAAAGCAAAAGATTCTGACACTCTTAGATATTTCCATAGTTGGCCTTAAAATCTTACTAAGTTTTACAGATTCTAAACTACTAAGGAAATTATGTAACCCACTTCTTTATAGTAAAGAGCTCATGAATGGTAGACCATCTTGGGTAATACAACAAGTATTTACTATGCCCTGCATGGTTTTAAGCAGGCGTCCCCACACTACGGCCCGTGGGCCACATGCAGCCTGCCTAGGACATTTATCCCGCCCACCGGGTGTTTTTGCCGCTGCTGCCACTCCTGCTTAGCAGCTGACTTGTTCCGGGGCCCACAGTCCGGCCCTCCAACAGTCTGAGGGACAGTGAACTGGCCCCCTGTTTAAAAGGTTTGAGGACCCCTGGGTTTAGGTGCTTGAGATATAGCTAACAATACATTTACTGCCTTTCTTATGTCTATTACACTTAATGAAGGTAAATGATTTAAAAATAAACCAAAAGTAGATCAACAGTTCCATGAAACCACATGTAGTATGGGAAATAGAAAAGAAAATATAGGGCAATAAAATGATCCCATGTGGGTAGAGAGGTTATAACTACAATAGATTGATCAAGTGAAACCTCGTTTAGAAGTTCCCACTTGAAGAAAGATGTGAAAGAAAGGGAAAATTTACCATGTGGATGGAAGGATGATGAATCATCCAGGCAACATTGAAAGATGGTGAATTAGCTCTAAGGTAAGAGGCGTTTGGCTTGTTTGAGGAATCAAAGATTCCACTGTGGTGAATACTGAGTGGGGATGGTCCAGAAAACCAAAAGATGAACTCAGGGAAATAAAGGGAGGTGGATCACAGAGGGCCTTGAAGGTCATTGCAAGATTTAGATTTTTCTAATTTACTCTGAGAATTGGGGTCTCGGTGGACAGTTTGGAACAGAGGAGAGTTGTTATCTGATTTAGGGTTTAACAGATTCATGTTTGCCTCTGTGTTGAGAAGGCATTGCAGAGAGGCAAGGGTGGAAGTTGTGGTCCTTCAGAGGCTATTGCAGTAGTCCTGGTGAAAGCAGATGGTAGTTGAGATCAGGATAGAGTAATGGGGATGGAGAAATGTGGTTTAATTCTAGATATATTATTAGTTTGACATCAGGGCCAACAGCATTCCCAATGGACTAAAAAATAGAGTATGCAAGAAAGAGAGTAGTCATGGATAACCATCAAAAATGATGCACTTGTCACTAACTGAGACAGAAAACTGCAGGAAGAGGGGATTGGGGTACCAGAAGTTTAGCTTTGCATATTTTAAGTTTAACTGAACTCTTAGAAATCTAGTAACAATATTGAGCAAGCTGTTACCTGAGTCAGATACTCAGGAGTGAAGGCACATGTGCAAATCAGCATCATATGACAAGGATTTAAAGCCATGAGATTGGACAAGTCCACCAAACAGCTGGGTTTGGGGGCACTCCAACATTATAGATTTTGGGAAAAGGAGAGGCACCAGAAAATATGACCCAGAAGGAGTGAACAATTAGATAGAAGGAAAACTAGGTATTTGATGAATAAAATACATCAATTTTGTGATGGTTGTGATTAATTTTGTAAAATTTTGCCAACAGTCAAATAAGATGGGAACTGAAAATCAGACATTGGGTTTAGCCATCTGGAGGTAATTGTCAAACTTAATAGGAGAGATTTCCTGGAGTGGTGGAAGCAAAAACTTGTCTGGAGTAGAATAACAGAAGAGGCTCCAATAAAAATTAGAAATTCCAAGTACAAACAACTTTTTATAAAATTTTACTACCACTGAGAACTGAAAATTCAGGCAAGAAAAAGCAAATGAGATAATTACAATATTTTTTGACTCTGATTCACAATAAAGAATATTTTTTTATTTTTAAATGATAATGTAGAACTCATAAACAAACATTCACACATTTTTATCCATATTTCCAACAGAAAAAGATTTTTGCAAAAGAAAACTTACATTTGCTACATCATGATACTTTGATCTTTTTTATTTGGCTTTGTATAATTCTATTTTATTAAAAATACTTTTGAATTAATCTCATCACTCACTAATGGGTTGTGACCCTCAATTTGTAAACAAAATGAAATTAGGACTTTAACTCTGTTGACGTTTAGATACAAGTCTAACACATAGTTTCTATTTTTAATTTTGTATGTATCTATGGCCCCTAATATATTAACAATAAACTATTTCACTGTATTAACAGCCTATTTCATCCTAACATGGTCTGGATAGTAGATGAGACTAGAACAAAGTGGAGGTGAAAGGGCAATTTAAGAGACCTTATCATGTATCTTTTGCTATGGACAAACTACCCCCCAAATTAATGGCTTAATACAATCTAAGTGTTTGTTTCCACAATTTTGTGAATTGGAAGTTTGGGCTGGAGCTGAATTTGTGGTTTATCTGATCCCAGCCTACTCAAGTCTCCAGAGTCAGCGCTGATTGGCTAGAGCTTGCTGAGCTAGGACAACACGAGCTAAGACAATTGTACTCTTGTTCATGGGGTGTTTTACCTTCCAGAAGGCTGGTCTAAGTTTGCTCCTGCAATGGCTAGAGCTATCTCTCAATGGAGTTGACACAGAGTGTAGGTGAATAAGGACTCTTGAAGGCTAGGGTCAGAACTGTCACCCAATCTCTTCTGTGACATTATGTTGCCCAAATCAAGTCACAAAGAGACAGGAGGACAGAAAGAGACTCCATCTGTTACTGAGAATAGCTGTCAATTCACCCTCAGGGGGATGCAAGGATGAGTTAAGACTACCATTCTCTTTGCAGTATAGAAATTGTTGGCCTCTGCACATTATGCTCAAATCCACATTGGAACTCCTGGAACTAATCATGGACATATGGGTTGAAAAAATGGATAGAGGTCTGGATTTGGAACAGTGGTAGAGGGCCATCCTGAGCTGAGTAAACAGAGCTGGGCAGCACAGCCTTTACAAAGTCAACAATGTTACTGCAACGAATTATTTCCTCCTTGGGAAAACCAAACAAGCTTTGAAAAATTTAACCCTTTCAGAAGGTATGGAAATAAAAAATAAATCCCTAATTCTGTTGAAAGCAATACTTGATAAGAATTTGTATTCACATAGCCTGTTGATCCTGAGCATATCTGTCAAGGAGGCTGACATTTTACTAAGACTCTTGGAGTTCCTGAGACAGTGGAGAGGTAATGAGGAAACATCAGAGGAGGAAGTTTCTATTAATTAATCCATGGGGAAAGAGAATTGGTGCTTTCCCCTAGTTATCATGGGAAATAACACAGTAGAGAAATCTCCCTGGGAAAACTTTGCAAACAAGTATAACAGTCTTTCCTGCTGAACTGAAGGGACTTGGAGTCCATAAACTCAGGACAGGGAAGGAAGCTCATTGTGAAGAGGTAAGAGGAGAAGGCACAGGGGTCCTAGAAGTAGGGGTGCCATGTGAGGAGAGAAAGAAAGAGTCTTGTAGAAAGACAGAAAAGGACTCAGCTAGTTCTCCTTCTGTTGACCTAAATAATAATATTTGGGTCATATTTGAGATTGCCTGAGTGGCCTAATAGAATTATTCTCAGAGGGAAGAAGTAATACAGGATTAGAATCAGTGATACTATTTTATTTTTTCTGGAGAAAAACAGATTGAATGATTAAGACTTTTCTACTGTTAATGGCATTGTTCTTTTGACTTCATGCCTTGCCCTTTTCTAAAGTAATTATGATCCAGAGGACCCATTTCTCCAGTGGACTCTGGTCCCAGTCAAATGGATATGAGCCAATAAGATTATTAATGAATAGAGGTCAGATATCAGAGGAACTTATTATTCAAAATCTTATCCCAGGGTATTGATTAACAGAGCATAGTCTCTGCCCCAGACCATCTTTTTGTGCTTGCCTTCCCTTCTCCCAGGTAGATGGGGAAGCTCATTACTGTCCTTCTAGTCTCTATCATATAAACATCTAACTGGAATATTAGTCCCTGCAGAGTAAAGTATCAACTTTTCAAAACATAGACACGACAATTTTATTGACAGGATGAGACCGTCACTGTTGGGAAATAGATATGGATGCTAGAAACACAGTAGGACAATAACTATGACTGCTTTAGAAGTCAAAGAAAGTCTCACTTCTCTGCAATGATAGTGCTCATCTCTGCAGGTTTACAAATGGAGATGGTAGGTAAACGTCCTTTATCCTTTCTCTTAATCTATTCGTGTGCAGGTTAATGCTCATTAGAATTGAGAGCATTGAGCTGCCAGGTATTGGAGCAGCCACTTAAAATACAAAGAAGCTAGAATGAAAGTTAATGGTGAAGTCATTAATTGCTTATTGTGATAATATGAGCAGAAGGCTAAAACCAGAGAAGGGTTTACTATGTAGAATAGATTGCAGGCAGAAAACTGAAGGCAGAAAGACAAGTATAATTACAAATCTAATAAAATATCACAGAATCCATATGCTGTAAACGATAAAACACTGATGTCAGAAATTAGCAATGACAACTAAATGGAAAAATATTATATTACTGAATAGAAAGATTCAATATTGTAAAGATGCTGGTTTTCCACAGACTAGCCATTCAATGCAACTTTAATCAAAATACCAGTATATTTTCTTTGTTTTTACTTCAGAGTTATTGATAGGCGGATTCAAAAATTTATGTTAAAAGGCAACAGAAAAATATAAGGCAGTATTTTGAAAAAGAATGAAATTGAAAGAATCACAGTAAACAATTCCAAGACTCACAATATGAAGAAAGACATCAAAATAGTGAACGTTGTCAAAAGAACAGGCACAGAAAAACAAGGAAATCTAACAGAGAGGATAGAAATAGATCCCACATAAATGGCCAGGTAATTCAATAGAGAAAGGAAAGAATTCTAGTAAATGCTGTTAGAACAAATGCACACAAATATGCTTAAAAATCTTTAACCACACACAAAAATTAACGCACAGTGGATCATAGACATGAATGCAAAACAAAACTATAAAATATCTCTAAGAAAGAAGTGAAGAACATCTTTATGACCTTCAGTTAGCAAATGTATTGGCCTCAATGGCAAGAGCACAATTTATAAAAGAAAAACAATTGATAAACTGAACTTCACCAAAATTGAAAATTTTTTACCGGACAAATTAAATGTTAAGAAAATAAATAGGAAAGACATACTGGGAAAAAATACATGAAAAACAACATACTTGTCAAAAAACATATCCAAAATACATAAAAGCTCAAAACTTGATCATTAGAAAGTAAACAGCTTTTTTAGAAATCAAAGATTTGAACAGACATTTCATAAAAGAAGACATGTAGATATCAAATTAGTTTAATTACAAATAATTTTTAAAATAGTTCAGGAGAAACATTTACTGGGGAAATTCTGGCATGCTATATAAGCAAGTGTTTTTGGTAGTTTATGAGCATACTGTACCCAAAGAGATATTATTTTTTCAAACACCCTTTGTGTGCTAAATATTTCTCCTTGTATGATTTTTCAATCTGTCCATTAAGTTGCCTTTCTGATTTACCTGGGGAGTGATACCTGAGGCAACCGATGAGTTCCTATGTACTACTTTATTTTTTTAATTTTTTTAAATTTTAGATTACTATAAGGATATACACTATTAGGTTACATTGTTTGCATTTGTTAGGAAAAGTCTGAATTGTATTTGAGTCCTTCACCTGGGAGGTATGCCATATATCCCTACATTGTACCCACTGTCCCTATACATCAAAGAAATGCAAATCTTTGCACTGTTTTTAGAAATAGCAGCTTCATATTTCATGCAACTTTCCAGGGACGTGGCAGCAAAAGCTCTAAATGCGTTACAATCCTACATTTTCACTCTTCTCTTTGCATTGTGACAGTCTTTGTTAGGACAAAAAGAATTTGAATAGGGAGACTTAGATATTCATGGAGAATCTCCTATCTCGTCTTCTTTTCAATATCTCTCATGGACTGACACTGTCAGATCCAGATTAAGATGACCCCAAATCTCCCACTGCTTCATTCCACTCTGGTCCCTTCTTTCTATGTTGGTTACTATTGATTAGCTTACTTTTCTCTACTGCTGAAAATGGTTTCCTACCAAGGTTTCACCTGCACGTTTGAGCCTAGAATTGTTACCCTCTTTGTCCTCATTTGAAGTGATGTGATAAAGGAGCAGAATACTGAAAACCAGGAATATTCAGGAAAATGCAGAGTATATTTTTATAAAAATTACATAGAAAAGAAGAGAGTGAAGTTTTCTGTAATTTACACTAAAAATGTTAGAGGTTTTCTCTAGTGTATGACTCAAAATAATATTGTCAATTATTATAAACTTATTATATACTTATTATTGCTTATATACTTATAAATATGACTTTTTTTTTGGATGTTAATCTTTTTTTATTATTATTATTTTTACATATTTTGGAACCTCACATAATTTTGATAAATAACTCTTACAAAATTATGCAAAAAGTACAAGAATG